TGAGTGTGCTGCAGCCGCCCACGTCTCCAGGCCTGCACCGCTCCCCGCATCTCTTGAGCTGAGCCGGTACAAACTGGGCACAGGTCCGTCCTCAGCTGTACAGCTGCGGGGGTACTGAGTGTACCAAGAGTGTTGGCCTGAAAGGAATCAATCAATAATAAACAGCTTCAGCAGGACCAGACGTCCTGTACTCCATGTCACGTATGGTAATTAAAAGGCAAGCAACTGTGAAAGCTAACACTTGGATAGATAGCCACAAATAAGGATGAATTCAGTTTATGCAGAAATTTACAACTATTCACAAACTTTATAAAAACAAATCTCAATTTGTTTTTAACAGTTCACAGTGAGCAAACTGACTTGCTCCAAATACAAAATCCGTGAATGATGCTGTGTTTTATCTGCCAGAGAAATGGCCTGGTCCTAGAAATATTGTCTGATGGCTGAAGGTGTCCTCTAATATGGGGTCCTCCCTTAGAAACCACCCATCATACAAACCTTTCCAAATTTTTTGCTGGTTACATGTCAGGAGCCCTGTAAGATCATGCAGTGCAATTTGTGAAAGTATAGCAGTGCATTTTCAAAGCATAAAATGCTCCGTGAATGAAAACAAGTAATGCACAAAAGACAGGCAACTCTAAATTATGGTTCCCTCTATAGACATAATGCACTGCCATTTCTCTTTTGCAATGAAGTGGCTGATGTTATCGTTCATGGTCTTAATGCTTTGCCGTATTGTGAGCAATTGTAATTGTCTGGATGACACATGGTTACTGAGGGAACCGAATCTTCAAGATTCCTGGCTTTTATTTCCATGCTCAGACTACCCCCATGGTATTTTTTTCAAGTGGCACAGAAATACAGACACCTGAAAGCAAATTCCAGAGAGCTGAGGCAATTTGTAATCTGACATAATGCACTGGACTATCACAGATAGCAGTGAATGTTCAAATTAATAATGCAGACCCTTCTACACTGAATAAAAGGTCACACATTCATTTTCACAGTGACCCTAGCTCCTTCCCTCAGTACCTGTGTGTCAACATCTCACAAACGGGCTAAAGTCTGGACAAAACAAAAAAGTTCCTGATTCTGACCCCGGTGTAACTGCTACATAATGTCATTGACTTGAACAGATTCATTCTGTTTGTACCTTCATCTGGTGGTAAGACTGAAGTAAAAACAAGGTCTTTATTTAGTGTATAAATGCAGCTGTGTGTTTTTCACCATATGCTAGAGCTTTGCATTTTGCACATTTCCAAACACTGCTGGATTGTAATTTTAAATTCTAAAACAAAGAATTTCTGCATGGTTAGTCAGAACGCAGGGAGAAAGAGCACATTTAGTTTACAATCAACAAAGTGTTATGCCTCATCCCACATAAAAAGGAGTTTGAAAGAGAGGTTATATTGGATGGATTTTTAAAAACAATTAGTGATTTAACTTCAGTGGAAACAGAGCTATGTCAATACTGAAGAGCTGACAATTGCTCTGCTGCTGATGTCTATTTAAATCTAGGTTCCTCTTAGGAAAGTGTGAGTTTTTGCAACATCATCAGAATGCTAGATTTTTTTTAAATTCTGGGAATTGGTGCCAACTGTTAAAACACTTGAACAACATTTTCCAATAAGACAGCTAATATACAGCTGTTCATGAGAAGTGAATGGAGCATTTGATTAATTTTGTTAAAATACCTGTAGCATGATGGGAAATCCTTGTGCACCACTGGATATCGTTTCGCTAGTTTTGCTTCTCCTTGTGGCATGGCAGTGATATGAGGTCACTAAGGGACAAGCGTTGGCAGATGGCACAAGAAGGATGGCAGGAAAAGGGGGCACAGTTAGATCCAGTGAGTAGTCTGTACAAAGTCAATAGCCACACTGAAAACAGTTTCTAAGAATAACTATTCTTACGTTTGAGTAGTTTGAGCTCTCAGGCCAGATGAGCACATGTGACTTCTAGAGATTTCTTGAAGACATTTGTACCTCCCAACTCTTTCATGTACAGCAAATATTCTGGCTTCTCTCTCCTGTGGAAGGTATGATAGGTCTTTGCAGACAAAGCAGTCTCACATGGGACTTCCTGCTTAATTTAATTTATTGACAGCTAACACAAAATTTCAGCTACTGATTCAGATACAGGGAGGAGAAAGGCAGACATAAACACTTAGAGAAAGACATTTCTCCTTCCTTCCCAAGCTCAAGCACCTCTCCTACCCCTTTCTGGTCTCAACATCCCTTGCTTTCAATGGGTGTTATGATCAGTCCCTTTGCCCCAGTTCTTTCTGTGAGAGGCACTGGGCAATGTGGACAGTTGGGGTCAGTGTGTAATGGTTATCGTTGCCGTTGTTTGCTTCTTACTCATTTTCCTCCACTGCTTCTTGCATTACTATTCCACTGTTTCATAGTGTGTCCTCTGTGTGCCACAGCTCCCTACAGGGTGTCCCTTCTTTGGCATGGAGCAGCTCCTTCCAAGACTGTGTCACTTCCTTCTACATGTCTCCTCCACTTCCTCCATCTCACAGATATCCTCACATTTTCTCCAGCATCTCCTATCCTAGGGGCTTTTCTTTTTTTAAGTATGTTTGAGCAGAAGTGCCATGTGCTGCTTTCACCTAGCTGAGGTTTTGGCACGCAGTGGGGGTTGTTTTAATCCCTTCCAAACTGGCTGATGGCAGCTGTAACTGGCGCAGAGGAGTTCATGGCCTCTTCCCATGCAGCTTCCAATACTAAAGGCCTGCCAGTTATGCCCAATATGCAGTTCACATGACATGCGCTTTCAGATAAGACCTGATCCTTTGTCTTTTTCCAAAAGCCAGTCCTCTCCTTCAACCCATTCCCTTATTACGTTGGCTTTCAACAAGCAGCCCACAGTAGTGTCCAAGGCTGGGTGGAAGGGAGGGCTGCAGACCTGCAAAGGGACTGATAGCTGCACCAGGTTACCGAGAAGTCAGAGGACATGTAAACTGCTGTTCATGGAAAAGACATTATGTAGTGGAATGAAGGGGTGGAACTGAAAATAGGAAAACATGCTGTGTTCTCACAGGAGGAAGTGAGGAGGAAGTTGTTTCTTTGTACTTGTAACTTCTACAAGGCAAAACACACCATTGTTAACTCTGAAAGATTGATGTTTCCTAATGTCAGGATACTACAGAAGACTGTGGGCTTAGACAAGCATACCAAGAAATGTCTTGGTATAAACCAAAGGTTTCTATGACAGGTTTCAGAAATAAAGGAAGCTGCAGTTTAATACACCTTTAGTTGCATCATCTGAAAATCCAAGTTCTTTTTAGCCCCAGATGATCTCGTCTGGACTAAATTCAAGATGCAGGGAAGACAGCAGATCAGCAATACTTCCATTTTAAAAAAATTACTTTTCAAAGAACTTTGCTCACCTCTTTTTTTTAGCTTGGCATTCTTGTTACAGAAACATAGCTTCAAGATTGCTCACTCTTACCTTGGGACACACGCTGAAGATTATACTCTATTTCAAGCACCTCTTCTGTCTTAGTTTACTTTCCCTTGATTTGAAATATCTGAGTCATAGGATGGTGACAGCTTTTGTAAAGTCTTCTTGGAAAGAGCTTCCTAACTTTTAGAAAGAAGTAATTGCATTGTTATTACTACTTTATAGCAACCTACGCTCTCCCTGAACATCCTAGCTTCGATTTATAGCATGGCAGTGTTAGTCACTCCAGCCTGGTTTACAGCCCAGTTAGTACAAGTGACTACAACTTGCTGTTTACTGCAACCTTCCACACACACTTTTCTTCCCATCCTATTTCCAGAAGAAAGTAGGTAAGAGAGCTGCTGTTTAGTTACTGCACCTGCGAATAAACAGAAGGTTTAAATACATCCTCTGCTATGCCCTGCAGTGGGAAAGCTTTGAAGTGCTTATCTGTGCCATGTGAAGAAGTTAATCTGGGAAGCTGCTGCCTCCCAATCAAAGAATTCTGCAGGCCTGTCCCAGTGCCTGACAGGGACAAAAGAGTTTGTGCTCATCCTCTCCATCTTTCAAGATAAACATAGGCTTCAAACTGGCAGCTGTCATTAATAAGACGGTTCTAAGTCCTTTAAATAAAATATAAATATATTGTAGTTCAGATATGAGCAAGCCACAGTTCAAGCAATTACTAGAAATACTTCTTAATGTTTATGTTAATCTTGTATTTAAGAAGGGTGATTTAAAAGTCATTTCTCATGTGGGTTAGTTGCCAGATGACTGATGTTGTTTTAAGAAGAGAGACCATCATCACAAGCATTGCCTTGTAATTTATCACAAATACTTAACATTAATATGAGTAAAATTACATCTGCAGTTAGCTATATAAAGTAGGGTGCCATGAAGCTCACTGTTAACAAAATTACTGCTTTTAAGATGTAAAATATACATGCACTTAAATACTTAGGTGGTAAAAATTCTTTGACAGAAATAAACTGATTTTCCCAACCCTGGACATAACCTATAGTTTGAGGAGCAAGGAAAACATGTAGAGTTGCCAATTAAAATACTGTAAGTTTATATAAGGTAGCAATTTTAATTCAATATGAATTTTTTGTTTTTCTCAGATTCTCCAGGTGTATACTTCCCAATGTCATGCAGCATGGAAGTATTTTTAATGTTTCACCCTTCCTCTCTGCAATTGTCAGTCTTCTAAAAATTAGCCCAGAATAGGACTTCTATGGAAATATTCCAGTGTGCATTACATATACATTGTCAGACAGGGACATGGGGATAGGCTGGCCTGCGTGAGCCAGGGTTCCTGTGCCAGCCATGGGACTGAATGGATAGCTATGTAGAACATTAAAGTTCAATGCAAAATGCTTTGAAAAATTCTGCACTTCGTCTCCCATTATAAAATTATAGGCTAATAACTTCCCCGGTGCATAGAACAAGATAGAAAAAAATTCATCACAAAACAGAAATAAAGCCTAATAGACACAGAACCTGATCAAATGCAAAGACAGCTAATTAAATGATGCAATATGTTTTTATTCAACCTCAGTTTAGGTACTCATGGGTGAATCTTCATGGGTCATCCAAGATATAAACTTCATCAAATTAAGCCCCTAAAATGAAAGTTAAAATGGTCAATTACCAAAACTTCCTTGAGGTCATCCAGACGTTATGCCACATCAGCTGCATTACTTTAGTTTCTTAAACTTTAAAAATAAATAAATAAATGGGGAAAAAAAAAAAATCACATATAAGGTCCTTCATCAATCAGTTGAATTATGGAACTCAAAGCAACTTTTTCCTGAATCAGTACCCATACACTGAGTATGTTACTACAAAAGTTTTAGCCTTTTATATAAACAGCTTTTTAAAGATTTTTATAAAATCTTATATATTTTATTTTATAAAATCTATAAAATTTTAAGATTTATATAAAATCTTTTATATAGATTTGAGTAGCCCAGTTAAGTCAGTGGAGATATGCACCTGGGATTTTGATCGCATTTGTTTGCTGTAGATTTAAATGGAGTTAAAGTTAGTCCCTGATTAGCAAGACTTCTTTCACCCACAGCTTTTGAGCTGCAGACAACAGCATTCAGTGCAAATCTTAGTGGTAAGGGATAAGTTTTAGGAAGCGATGTTTTTCCTTCCCTAGATAATGACATTCCAGGAAGGAAGAAAATGCACCATCATGTGTTCAAAACCAGCTTGTGAACCAGAAGGAAAGACAGGCTGGAACTGGTCCGTAAGTTGCTTGCTTCAGCACCAGCATGACCAGAGGCCATGAGGGAAAGTGTGCTGTCCCTCACCTCTGGTCTTAAAAATTACACTCAGAGCAAGCCATCTTCAGGCCCTGGAAGGTTTTTATGTAGGCTCACTCCAAAACACAGGCCAATGAATCTTACGGCCTCCACAAAAGCAAAGCTATGTAAGTTTTTAGGCTCTTCAGCAGCTTCCCAGCTCTCACTGTATCCTTCTTGGGGCTGGAAGAGTGTCCCATACCTGACAGCTTCTCACACAATTGCAGAATGCGTCAGGTTGGAAGGCCCCACTGGATGCCATCTAGTCCAACCTCCCTGTGCCCCAGCAGGGTCCCTTTGAGCCTGTCATTCAGAAATGTCTTCAGATGACTTCTGAATACCTCCACTAAAGGACTCTGCACCGTCTCTGTGCAACCAGTGCCCATGTTTAAAAGAAGGGAGGATAAAGGCCTCTTGTCTAGCATAAACTGCAATGCCCTCAAAGAAGAAGTCATCCCTTGCTTGCTGTTATCAAAACCATATCCTCCTCTTGTCCCTACTCCTTGCCTCTGCTGAGCTCATGAGTACTCCACATTATTGAGCTTTTCTGAGTCCATGCCTACAACCAAGGATTTGCTTTCCAGGAGGCAAGAAACACCTCCTTTATAATTCCTTTTTACAGAGAAAGGACTAAGGCTTTACTTCTGTTCTCTTTATACACCTGGAGAAACATGGTCAGAAAGTGATCTTTAGGGGTGTTTCTTCAAATCTTGTGTTTTCTCAAACATCAAGAAAAACCCATGATGCAGAATGAACAATCTCTAATCAAACCCAAATTTTTCCAGATCTGCTTGTAACTGACAGCTGAATTCCACACAGAGACCTTCAGTCTGGTCTGTAGAGCCTAATTTGTTTTCCTCTAACTTGATTGCCCAGATTGGGGTTTGCTTGGCACTGTTGTTGTACATAAAAAATCAGGCAGCTTTTGAGTTCTGCCAGCTGTTACATTTTGGCCCATTTAAATATCTGCACTTTCTGAATACTTCCAGTAATTTTATCAAGGCAATAAGTTTGACTTATACATTTTTTAGCTGCTTGCAGGCATGCGGGGCTGGATCTTGGGTGTAGACAGCTTGTCCTGGAGACACAGTCCTGTTCTTGGCTTCAGGATGAGTTCCTGCTTCTGCTCATTTTGTCATTATATGAAGAACAGGTATCTCTATGTGTGTCTGTTAACTATCACTCTAGCATTTTCAGCAAAAGGACAAAATCAAAGGTAATCTTCCCTGCTGCACCCTCACCCCTCCCATCCATTACTTTGCATCTTGTGAAGTAGTTGGAGAGAGTAATGCTCTTGCTGCCTTTAACCTGCCCACAGTGTTGCTGCCAGAGTCTGTGCAGCCACTAGTCAAGATATCAACAAACTTCCAGGGTTTTCGATGAACTCACAGTCTACTGTGCCTTTCCATAGAGGCTCAGTACCTAAGCTATGTCCTTTACGTTCTTGGTCACTTTCCCTCTTTATAGCATGGCATTCCCAAGTGAAATACTGCCTTGTGATTGTCCAGCATCCAAACTCACCAACTTCAGTATGCAGATCCTGCCCCTCCTTCAGAAGATGTTCTTTCTGTTTCTCTACACCTTAGAAGATCTCCTTCTAACTTTGGTGCTTCTGCTTCAGCGTATTCCCACCTGCCCCTGTTTGGAGAAGGACAAAACAATCAACCTTCATTTCTCTGTCCTCATATCTTTACACAGTCATTCTCTCCTGCTGGGCATGCTCCTGGACATGCTAGACAGACCTTCCACAAAAACTATTAATTCTGGGGCTTCTTATTTCTAATGTCTTCAACATTATCCCCATCAGAATTACACAGCAATGAGCACCTGTCTCTTTTTCTTGATAGCTGTAAAAACTTGTTCACTTTCTTATTGCACATTCAGGGAAGACTTTTATTACAATTACTGTATTCTGTGATCTTTGTCCAGGCTGCTCCCTGAGCTGTTCATCAATATTGACATTTATATCTTTCTTAAAGTGTTTATGATATTGACATTTATATCTTTCTTAAAGTGTTTATGATCAGGGACAACCTTTTTTGACTAATATTTCCAGGACTTCTCTTTATTGGTGGGTAATCTACTGAATCAGTGTAGCCTGCCAGGGAGAAATCTGCAGTGAAAATAATTCCTAGCAATCAGCCCAAAATTATTAGTTTTCAAAAGAGATATATGAAGTAACAGAAGGCATGAGAAAACTGGGTACATAATGTTAAAAGGACAGGATGAAGACCATACAGAAAGATGTAATACAAGTTTTATTTGTATGGTTTTGTATAAAGCTCTCCCAAGATTAGGCGTAAGATAAACATGCATTCTAAGTTTTGGCGTATTTTACTTTCTTTATTAAAATCAATGAAATATTACCAGGACAAACTTTCAGAATCCAAGTGCCAGTAACAGTGTTACCTCATAAGAAGCTATGATCAAGAACACCATATATGAAACCAATACAATACCGTTTCTGTAAAAGCATCTTTTTCCATTAGTGCCCTTAAAACTTTGTGTGATATTTTGTGCTAATCTTAGAGAGATATGGAATTAACATAGCTTTGTATAGCTTTCAACATAACTTCAGTGTTGACACACATATTTAAGACGTGGTTGCAGTAACTTTTAGAAATTAATTACTTGGACTTTATGCCTCTTCTATTCCTTCAGAATTGTATTCCTTCTAAACATACACTTCAGATTAAATGGGTGTTACTTCAGTAGCTTAACTTCAGATACAAATTTTTATTTTTTTTTAATCAGGTCCAACTGGTTATTAATAATTTTCTTTTCCCCACTCCATTACCACTTACTTGGTCAGAAAAAGACAAGAAACTTCATGGATTCCTGTTAAAATACAGAAGGGTTCTCATTTGCAATTTGTTTATCATCCACAAACTTCTTCTACAGAAGTTTAGACTCTTCTCCAGATTCAACCTGCTACTCATTGGGCTAAATGTATTTCTCTCAGGATAGAAAGATTCTATGCATGTTCACCTGCATGTTCTTTAGCACATAAAGGTAAAGCAGTTCACTGACTCTGAAAAGTAAGCTAAGGTTGGATTTTAAATGCTGCCAAGTGATTTTAGTCCTCAAATGAGCACTTGTCTGAATTTTTCCTGCCCCAAAAAATCCATTCAGTTACAGGTTCAGAATTTCACTCTTGATCTCCAAGACCATTTTGGAAGTGTTTGAGTTTGGACATTCAGATTTCATTTCCCTAAGCTGTTTTCAGTTCCAGTTAAAGATTTTATGAGCCTCTCACAGATGAGTAACTTTGAGGCTACCAACAATAACAAGAATTTCTTCAGGACTGTAACTCTAGAGTTACAGCTCTGGAGCCACAATGTATCACCTGCTTTTGTCTTCTACACATTGTACGTAATGATTGGGGTGTTGTTCAAAGGTAATATTAATGATCCATTTATATATGTTCCAGTATGCATTATAAATAAGTCTCTGATAGCAGAAAGCTTATGCAATATTCTTCCCTGTGCAATTACAGTTTAGACATCAAAGCATGTAATACTGCATAATAATACTGTGCCCTGAATAGATTCCTGTATATAAGATCATATTTGATGATCTTACATACAATGTTGGTTTGTAGGGTATTACAGCTGGGAAATCTCAGGCTGCACGAATAGAACAAAGATTGTAGAAATAACTGGGGACACATTTTGCTGTTCCCCACACTAGACTTTAAGAATGGAAGATGGGTTTTACAGCAAATTAAGAATGAAAATTGAAGAATAAAAATCTGCTATCTACAGAATAAAAAAAAATAAAAATCTTACCCTAAACTCAGCTATAAAAGGACTCCATCTTCTCCAGCTTCTTTGTTCTTTCCTTCCACTGCCCTTGCTGCCATGGTTTCAATGGAATTTAAAACAAACAAGAAAAACTAGGAAGAGCTAGAAAGAACATGAGACAGCAAACGGAAAACACATTAAGAGGCACAAATTCTTCAATTTTGTATCAGCCACAGATCAGAGCTTTCATAGAATAATTACCCATGTTTTTTATCAGTTCTGTCTAATTAGGGGTTTTTTTTTTTAGCTTGTTGCATGTGGACACATAGAAACAGCAGTGATTTGTGGATGCAGTGTGACCCTGCCTGCACAAGTAAAAACTCCTTCCAGAGGGGGAAAAAACCACAAATCCTTATTTTTTTCAAGGGTTTCTTTGGTTCATTTTTCAAGGAGAACTGAGCATCCTCTATGCATTGAGCATCTTAGCTACTTTGGCCCCAGTGCAGGTGTGTCCCTGAAGGCTGAAGACTATACCTTACAGGTTGTAGTCTATAAGAAGGGCTACAGGGTTTATAGCCCTGTCCTATAAACTGTCACTCTGAGAAATGGACTGCAACCTACCTATCACAGAATGACAGTAAGAAGCAGCAATCCATCTTGATTTACACTTTTTATTACCTTTATTTTGGTGTATCTTTAATTCCCTAATGAGCCAACCCATGGCAATTTTTTACCTTGTACTGGAAATTTGGCTAACAATTCTATTAGGAAAAGTTTATGTTAAGTTGATCCTACTTCAGAAAAACATGGTGGAAAAAAGTTGCTTCCCAAGGGATCTTCCCACCCTGTCTTTCCATGTTACTCTCTCTGCAAAGGAACAAAGCATAACTATAAAGTACACCTGCACACTGCTATATCACAATCACACTCAGCTGTGCATCCTGCCACAAGGGAGCTGGAGGAGGTGTCAAACCAAGTATGGCATCATGGTTGGATGCCCTGTTCTCACAGGAAAATATACAGTTAAAAAAAAAAAACCTAGCTATGCTGTAACTGCTTGGAGGGGAACCAGCAGTCAGGAGTTTTTTGTCACCTGCTCCTTTTGCACAATATCTACAACCTTGGGAATGTCAGAGTAAATCTACTGCTTACTGTCACTGCTGTCAAAGCTTTATGCAAGCCACTGTGTTTCAGGTTAAAATTTTCCAGCAGTACAGGAGTTACTGGCTCCCCCACCAACTGGAACTGATTCTGGAGACTTGAATGATCCAGTTCTATACATAGATGCTCTCCCTGTTTTGAAAGTTGACCTCCCATGTACAAAAAACCAGTTTTATGTATGGAATTATTCTGTTTGGTATTAGCAAGTACTAGAAATTAAATATACCTCTTTGTCACTTCAATTCCACATTTCTTGGCCATATAAAATTCTAGAGAATATCCTCACAGATAAATTTTCTAGCATGTGTCTAAGATTTGAAAACATGTAGTGTTGGATGCCTAAATTGTTCACTGAGGAAAACTGGTGAAGAAAGAGTAAGACTGTCTTTATCAAAAACAGCAATAGGCCCTAAGATTAGTTTACTATGGTGCAGTGGTAATAACAAAAAGATTTGTGGGTCCAATCCCCATAAGGGCCATTTACTTAGAAGAGATTGACTTGATGATCCTTGCAGGTCTCTTCCCTTCCAGCTCAGAATCTTCTGTGAAGCAAACTCTTTTTTGACCTGTGTCTTCAAATATCCGTAGTAATATACATTGCACTAAACTACATATTCCCTTACACACTCTGAGTTATCACAACTGCATGCAAATCCTGCATGCCCTTATTTTAGCTATACTTTACTGAGAATCTCAAAACCCTGGTTCTTCCAGCTTTTTGTTCCTGGGACTGATTTGCAGACATCCAGTTTTTGTATCTTTTCACTTACAGTACCTGGCACCTCCTAGGTGGATGGAAGCTGCTGGCAGCTAAGCTCTGACTTCTGTTTGTATTCTGTGGAGTTTTGGCAGCAGTGGTACAGAGCAGATGGCAGGCCTTTCTCCTTTCTTTAAGATGCACCAACTGACTTGGAGCTGTGGATGTCAGTGAAGCAGAGGCTGAATGCAACCAGTACAGGAGAGAGTGGCTGTAAAGCAACACACAAATGACCCACACATCTGACACTTCACAAATCACTGTCACTCACCTCTGAGTCAAGTTCTTCCCTGCTGTTCAGAATAGGAGAAGTGATTCTGTGATATCAGTGGAGATTAGCTACAGACAAAGTCAAGTTTTGCTCAGCTCTGTATAAACACAAAATAAAGGAGAGGGCAAAAATCAGCCTTTGTTTTTCCTACAAAATCAAGTTCATGTTGAGTTGCTAAACCACTGGAAACTTCATATCAGCCTTTCATATATTCATGCATCAAAATGACAGTACTTTCTTCTAATTGGAAGTAACAGTTTCATCACCTCCAACGCTATTACTGATCTGTATGGGTCTGCATTAGAGAACCTGGGCCTCACATACATATATTAAAGGGAAGACCTTTCCAAACTTTTCTGTCAAACCAATCTAAGTGAAATGTTTTGTTCTGCCACATAAAAATGGCATTCAAATCCTGCATGCCTATGGCTGCAGGACAATATTAGCTATGATTAAAAATTAATCTTTCGTAGCAAAGTTTGTACTTTTAAATTTTTCACAAGCTTAATTAATTACTCCCATGTTTAATGAGCTTTAAATGGATGACTCATCATCTGTTGGTGTTATTGCAACTATTCAAATTACCTGGAGCGCCCCGTTTTATCTCTTTTCTCTTTGACAAGGCTGGTTTCTAAAGCATCAAATTAATATTTATCTTGAGGAAAAACATAGTACCAAAGGAAATATCAACGAGCATTCAATTGAACAGAGAGAGAATGACATAAATGGGATTTATTGTTTATGCCAGTTCAGCCCTCACCCTCCCTTATACTTTCCTCCTACCTTTTTCCCTGCAAAATGAACTTAATTTCTGCCTATGCCCAGCCTGTACAAACACCTCTCACAAAGCAGCACACAAAGGTAGAGTCTGTGAAAGGATAAACCAGGGTGCTCTTAGCTATATCACATCATTCCAAACCAGTATGAAAGCCTGGCTTATGTACATGGGGAGTTTGCTTTTTAAAGGCAGTAAATCACCAAATTGCTGGGACAGGCTGCAAATATGTCTAAATTACTGCAAGACATTCCTCCATTTCCACAGACCACTATACTGCTGGTGTAAACATAAACAGACTTAGAGTTTGTCAGCACAAGGAAGCTACTTCTTAGGAAGGGAGTTAATTTACAGCTGAGTATTATTCTTCTGTGGACATATTCAGTGTGCATGGAATGTACTACTGTTCATTCAAGCTTTAAGTGAGTATTTGTTCAGGATTCAACCCCTGAAGACTATTCAGTTGAATACAGATCAGACTTGTGAGACATAGTGAAGAGGAATCAGCTGAACACTCTGAAATATGCAGTTGTTAAAAAGTGATGAAAAAAATATTAGAAGAAAACCATAGGATTCCTTCAAAATTATGTTTATCACCTGTTTTAATCCATTCTTGATATGCTTCTGCTTCTTGCCAAACTGATGGCAGGTTAACTGCTTGAAAGTTAACTCCTAAGCAGCCTAGGCAAAGGCTCTTGCTGTATCACACACACAGAGGCACACATGAGGTGCATTCTGCTGTTAGTCAGGCAGCTGTTAACAGAACCATTATATTTTCAAAATGAAAATTAAGCCTTCCTGCTGCTTCATTTTGTTTTCCATGCTGTGCTGAAAAATCCATTGGCCTTCTACTATTTCCTTCCTAAAATCAGGATTTCTTTGTCAACTAAACCCCTCGAACTGGTCTGGCTCTTCTATATTCAGCTTAACTGTTCTACCCATCAGCTCTTCTTTTTCTATCCAATTTGATGTCCCATCCTTTCTGACTTAACACTAAGGCAGGCAGTTAAACCTTCCTGAAACATTACAGAATAAGATCTATCAGTGGGAAGTGGATAATTTCAAGACATGGCAGCATGGTCTGAAAATACCTCTCTTCCAGCTGTATCAGTTACAGGTTTGGAATCACAGGGACAATGGTCTGACAGCTTTAGATTATGTAGACTCAGATTTCATAAACACTTTGCACATGGGGCTGCCTTTCTGACTGATCTGTAAGTAATAAAAGATAAAGCTTGAGCACTCTTGCCAACACTAGATTGTGACTAGTACAAATTCTTAAAGAATCCCACACAGAGTCCCTGTGATTCTGGGATTTGCATGTAAATTTAGATGCAAAAAGACAGAAGAAATTGTCTGATATATATTACAATGAACATAATCTGATTTCTCCTGCCAGGAAACCCATGGTGCAGGTGAGCCTTTGGCACAGTGCAAATGCCCTAAGAGTGTGTAAAAGAAGATAGGTTTAGTTCTATCCTTTACAAAGTCCTTCAGTCCCCTACACCCTTACTCCTGACAAAAAAGAAAAAGAAAACAAAACCAAATTCAACACTTTGCTCAGGCTAAAAAAGGGATCTTTAAAAATAATGTGAAGAGAAAGTTTCAAATAACTTACAGGAAGAAATTAAATGTTTGTCCCTTCTGCACATGCATTTTTAAGCCTTGGGCAAGGCCACTGTTTTTGAAAACAGAGGTTCAGGTGGAGTTTGGAACTGTAGGTCTTTCTTCCCTTCTCACAGAGATTTCATGTACTGATGGACTACAGAACTCAGAGGGCAACAAAGGCTCCACTGTAGCAGACAAAGCTGAAAATGCTGCTGTTCTTGGGTGGGATTTTTTGGTTATTTTTAACAGTTTTTTGTTGTTATTCTCACAGTGACTGAGCAGATACCTGTTGAATGCTTTCTAGAATAGGTGAAGACATGCAAAACAAAGCAAATTATTTTTTTCAGTTTGGTGTATGTATGGAAAAAAAAAATGTTATGTTGTTAAATGCAAAACATTCCTGTCACCAAAGATTTGGGCATCACTTAATTCAAGATGGCCCTATGATCTAGAACTGGACAGAATTTGTCTTACAAAGTGTATGGCTACTATTGAAACAAAAGCATAGCCCTCTGTCAGTGAAGAATCATCTGAATCATTTGTCTTACAAAGTGTATGGCTACTATTGAAACAAAAGCATAG